GGGACGTGACAGATGTTTGCCCAAATCAATTCTGAGCACAGCACCTTGTAGTCCTAGACTGAAAATGCAGTTCTTGGCATTCCAAGAACTTTACAAATAGCACACAAGTGTGTCTTTTATGTGGCTTGTAAAATTTACCTTAGAGACATAATGTATTAGGTTATCATGTTTCCATTAATTAACATTCTTTGCTTTAAGAATGCATTAACTCACTCAAATTAATCAACAAGGTTAACAAATTTTTTTAAATTAAAGCATTTGTGCAGGAGTAATTCCCCCACAAAAGGAAATTCATGTCATCAATCTGTTTTACTCCTTTTATCCAGCTGAATCACTGGGCAGTAAGAGGGCTATGCTGGAAGACAGACCTTGAAAAAGGCTAAGTTGGAGCCTTGGAGAACCATATTCACAGGAGGGTAGTGTGCTGAGATGGCCATAGGAGAGACTGAAAAGGAAAAAAGGTCTGGAAAAGGAGAGTCTAAGAACAAGCATAAATGTGATCTGTGTTTCACAACTGGTCTGCTAACACTTGTACTTAAACCAGTACTTACCTACCAGGCACAGTTCTAAAGCCTTGCTTAATTAACAGTAGTACATTTTTATTCCCATTTCACAGTTGGAAAAAAAAAAAAGCACAAAGAAGTTGAGTATCTTCCAAAACTTCAAAGTTAGTGGCAGAGCTGGGATTCAACCCAGGCATCGTTTCATAATCAGGACTTAATGGTTTTGTATAGAATACATTCTAGAGCAGTCACATTTAATCTCATTTTAATCCATGGCCTCCAGTAGGAATATGTGATTCAGTACATCACAACGTAATTGGGACCAGAACGTGGCACAGCAGAATGTGACACTGTGCAAGGCAATCCCACATGAGAGGGTTCCTGGGTTCAGTTCAGGGTCCTCCCTGAGGGTTCTTGGCTTTTTCTTGCCCATGTTCTGGGGCTGGCTCAAGGCTGGGGTATCCAGTCATTGTTGGGGGTTCTCCATCTCTCTCTCACTCAGGGAAGAAATAAATACACTACAAAAGTTAGAAATAAGTTATGTGAAATAATACTTTTTGCCAAATATATGTGTTTGGATTTTTACTATTTAAAAATTGTTGTTTGAAGCTAATAAATTTATTTTACTATCCTCCAATGAGTTATGACCCATAATTTTAAAAACATTTCTTTGGCAACCAGGGCTACAAAGGTCAACTTGATAATTCCACTAGGACATTTAACAGTCATCTCAAATTTAGTATGTGTAGTGGTGTGGTGGTTAAGAGTGCTGGACTCCCACATGGCCGACCACAGTTTGAGTCCTGAACCTAGTGGGTTGCTTTTTCACTTTCTCCCTCTCTCTCACTCTGTCCCTCTCTGGTCAAATAAAAACATAAATTAATTAATTAATTTAATTAA